GAAAATCTCATTCAAAATATCCATTACCAGATTACCCCCAAAGAATTCCACACAGAAAATATTTGCTTATCCCTGAGGAATTCCAAAGCTAAAAATTTATCACCTCATTCCAGCAGAATTGAAAGCTGGAATAGCCCATTTTGTGCTGGCACTGTGGCACAAGTGTTCATACTTGGGCTATAATAACCCCTTATTCATATTTGAGGATAAATACAGATTTGTATATTTTTATTTTAACTTGTTTATAACAAATTTTAAAACACAAAAATTATTTATCAGACAGTTAAGGACTAAGGAGTCGTTTGTGAATTAACCCACTGAGTGACAGCACACTCTCGTTGATGAGTAAAATCCTTGGCATTAGACACAGTAAAATAATAAAGTAGGTCACATGAGGGTACATTGCCACTTAAAGGGTTATATTGATTAGGGCGCATATATTGATTATTGGTGCAGAATTTAGCTTTTTGCACCTAACTGATGATGCGATAGACAGTGGTTATATTTCACCTCAGGGCCGTAGCAACCAGGGGGGGGGGGTGCTGTTTGAAAACTAAATTAAAAAATTTCCTCGGGCCTTTGGCCATTGCTTTCAGTTCCCCAATCAAAAAGAGCTTCCCACAGCACTGCACTCCCTGAGCTATTGGCATTAAAATTTTACATAACTTTATATTAGCAGTCAGTGGTGTAGAACTGAATCGCTAACAAAGAGGGCCCTCAAAGAGGGGGGGGGGGTGACAAGACGTGGGGTAACCATGCATTGAGGGTGCAACATGGTAAATATAAATAGTTCCAGTATTCGCTTTTGGTTCTAGCAATTCTTCAATTGGTGATTTTTAACTAAAGGGCTTAATTAACATCAAATAATACACTCCAAAATATTGAAGCTATTACATGTTAGAGCCACATAAATATCATCAAATGGTTAGATCATAGTAAGGTACAGATTACTGCTAGATTATAAATTTTGCAATCAGCAAAAATATTGCGAGGTTAATCTTCCCAAGTTGACATTAAATTTTTAACAAGGGGACCCCTGTTTGCAATCTATTAAATAAGCAAATAAGATACAAGTAAAAATCATGAATACATGATGCAGTTTACAACAAGAACATGGGAGTTTTTAAGCTAATAGTTCAGTCCTATAACCAGAATAATAAGTGGACCTTATGTAATGTTAACATAATACAGCCAATGGCTGCAAGGTTTATCAATTAAAAACATCTATCTATCTAAGGAATACCAATCCAAGATTGTGTGTCACGTACCTCGTGTGTCACTTCAAAACAGCCAACATTTGAGCCTTCTTGAAAATAGAGCTAGCATGCAAATATGACAGTTCCAATACATGTAAACAAATACGATTTTTATGCAGACTATTGGAGCAACCAAGACTATAAGCCATATTAAAGCGTATATAGATGTAAAACTTCACAAAACAAAAATATAAACGTTCAGAAATAATGGTACGACGAATAAATAACACAGTTTAATATTGTCAGTTAATCCACCTCGGAATATACTCCACTCCTCGATAGTGAAACGTCGACATAATTTTGTATATTCTTGATGGATTTCTTTCAAAAAACCCCCAGAAGAACAAGCGTGATTGAAAGAACAATTTGACGTTCACTTTATACACTTACGAAGACTTTAAGACCGTCAAAATAGCGAAAATATATGCACGTATTGCTTCGTATATAGATCAGTGGGAATTTCCATTTTGCGACTATCCATGGAGAAGGAGACGGAGAAGGAGACCAAATTCACCCGAAACCTATAGTTGCTGGCACAGGTGCCCCAGCAACTAATAAAGACCATATCATGGCAAATGAAAAAAGTCAAATGTAAAAATAGTTCTAAGTAAAAGAGAAAATTTTGTTTCTATGTTAGAAGACAGTTGTGATTCTATGCAAAGCAAAACAGATGAGACATACTCCAGTTTCTCTAAGTCCTTCTTGTACGGAACATTCTGCGAGTTATAAATCAATATGGAGGAAATCAAGATGGTCAACACAAGGATTCCAGCGTCTTGAGAAACATTTGCACCTGGAGCATCTGTGGACACAAAAAGAGAAAGTAGAAAATGCAATTAGTAAAGCCGCTGAGAATTGGTAAAGCCATAAAAAAGACTCAAACAAAACGGAACTTTCGAAACATATTTGGAAATTAAAAGAAAACAATCAGGATTATTACCATATAATTTTAAAACACGCTATTTTATACACAGGGGGATCGAAACGCTGTAATTTATGTTTGGAAAAAAAACTTTGCATTTTGAAAGACACTATAAACAAAGACAAGTTACTCAATAAAAGAATTAAGCGAAATATTCGGCAAGTGCCGTCACAAAACCGGTTTCGAGTAAACAAGATCGTTAACAAAATTTAATGACCGAAGCATTGTTTCGACTAAGCATTAATTGTTTCAACTAAGCAACCTACGGTTTTAGAGTTTAAGGTTTCAAAGGACAACTTTTATTGAATTAGCTGTATGTATATATATTATATATTATATATTATATATTATATATACGCTACAAACAACACAACTAGCCGATCACGTGATCAGCTCTCCTCTACCCGAGGAACTACTCCAAACTAAACGCTCAAACTATATATACAAACTCAGTATAATTATAATAGCTTTCTGACAACAGCGCACTTTTCCATCAGTTGTCCATTGAAGAGAACGAAAACTATTCAACTGCAACGGGCTTATGTGTTCACCTCTCAGATCAAGGTTTGATTCCTGCAATTTACAGTTGTTTGATGATAAAAATGTTCATTTCTACTCCGCAGATTTCCCCCTCGCAATAACACTGGTTCAATAAAAGAAGTTGATTGGACTTCTAGTCAGAACAGTTTGACCTGATAGAGCTATCCACTGGTTAGTTTCATTTCACTGATAGTCCTTACCAATCCCTTCTGTATCCAACAAAAGGACGGCATGTTCTTTTCCATTCTTATCTTTTCCCACAAGAATCTTTGTTCCCATCCATATTCCAAAAGTCTTCGGATCAAACGTGTGCCCGAGATCAAAAGCATCAACTTCACCTAACAATCTGAAATTAAAACACAAGTACATGCCAAAACAATTTTTGGTAAATGAAACGTATCATGAAAGGTACTAGGAAATAAAAATATATAACTGCAAATTATGTAAAACCAGTAAAATTTGGGGCCGGTTGTTCGAAAGCTGGTTGGCATAATCCCAAATTAACATAAATTTCAAAGCTTGAATTTCCAACAGCTTGTTTAGAAACATGAAGATAATTTCCCAAGATTCATGTCTGGATCGATAGAAGTTTTATTTTCCAAAGTTTTGAAATAAACAGATGTGCGAATGTACACAAACTAAAACAGCGGGTTAAATTTTAACCCAGGGTTAGCGCTAACCCAGCTTTGAACAATGGGCCCCAGGCCAAAATTCATGTAAAAAGTTAATCCACTTTTGCAAAAATCTTAAATCTTGGACTTTGTATGCATACCCCCCACTCCCCCTCTTTAATGTTGCACATCCCCCACTTCAATGTTGCATACCCCCCACTCCCCCTCTTCAATCTTGTATATCCTCAACTCCCCCTCTTCAATGTTGCATATCCCACACCCCCCTCTTCAATGTTGCATATCCACATTATCTACTTCTTATTTGCCTCATTATGGACTTGGGGGAACGGGGCATATTCGCCATTCGAGGCCAGTCCCGGATTGTAGATTCGAGCTTATAAGCAAGCGACAGTTTTTGTCAATACGGACGTCACGCAAAAATTTGTAGAACTAATTTTGATGGCATTTTCAGCATAGCGTTGTGCAAGGAAGCAAAACACTTTAAAAATCTTAGCTTTCGTCCTATGAATACGTGTTGAAGCTTCGCACAAACTGGCACAAACACAACTTTTAATCCAGTTCCCCTCGACAATCTAACGTCCGTGATGACAAAAAACGTCGTTTGCTTAAACTCTCTAATCTCAGCTCACTTGCATGTGAAAACTCAGTGGCGTGCTGGCAGGGGGGGCCGGGGGGCCACGGCCCCCCAGCTGGCAATTCTAGGGGGGCGCAAAAATGAAAAGGGGGCGCTGATCCCGCACCGAATTTTGAAAGTGGGTGGGAAAAAACGCATTCGAAAGTTACTCCCGCCAAGAAAACGACAAAGTGATATATTAAATTACAGACTATTTTGTCTATTAAGCCGTATTTGCTAATTTGCTACTTCACGGCGCACACGAAATCATTTATATCGGAACATGATCAGTGATCAAACGCAATGTCTCATTACCGAAACATTGGTCAGGTTTGGAAGCGATCACGGGAATTATGCCCTTATATTACGCCCTTTATTATGCTTCACGAGAGCGGCGCAAATTAGATAGTTGAAGTTATGATAATGTAAAGTTGTGTACGCAATTTAGTTGTTTGAGCAAGAAATATCATGAGTAATGTAAGTAATGAAATAATGCTGAAACGCGCCCTTTTGGCAACCAGGCAAGGAAACCTTAAAATGCATATGCGTGCGGTCCATGTATTATTGTATAAAAGAGCTGTAAGTGGTAAATGTATTCAGATCACTAGATCAGTAGAGAATAGAATTGGGATTAGATTAATCGCTGCAAGTGGTTAGCATTGCATAATTTAAGTACAAATTGCAAATTTCGACACGTTATAATGCTGTATCCTAACCATCAGATTTCTGTAAAATCGTCCCCCAAAGTCCAGGAAATGGCATTTCAGAGACTCTAAATTCAAAAATTTTCCTGGGGGGGGGCATGCCCCCGGACACCCCTAGACAAACCTTGCACCTTCGGCCCTCGTTTATCAAGTGTAATATTATAGGGGAGCATATTGGTTGACAGCCCACTGGCCCCCCCAGAAAAATAGTACCCAGCACGCCACTGTGAAGACTGCTGTTTCAATGGACAACTTGCATGTTGGACTAAATTTTAATCTAAGTAGAGAGAAGCGAATAAAACACAACAGTTAAAAAGAAAATAATGAAATTAGTAAATTTGCAAAATTTGGTTGCGAAATGTTGCAAAATGCAGAAAATATAGCCTTGCGAAGTTTGCATATTTTCAGTATTTTGTATTACGTGCGGAACTATTGTTACCATTTTCGGCTCAAAAATGGTAACAATTTCGCACGTAATACAAATATACTGAAAATATGCAAATTTCGCAAGGCTATATTTTCTGCATTTTACAACCAAATTTTGCCATTTTACTGATTTTAATAAGTCACTTTACGGGAATTTACTTTTTTTGCCTAAATCAAAAATTAGTCTAACATGCAAGTTGTCTAACAATGATAAATAATAAAGCAGTGTTAAGCCCAGGTCACACTACACAACGATACGATAACTTGTATACGCGCGCTGATTGGTCAAAAATTTATCGTTATCGTCCAACTGAAAAAAAAATCGCTAGGTGAGCGATTTAAAAATCGTTATCGTTATCGTCTAACGATAATTTTATCATTTTCGTTGTTGTGTGGACACTAACACAATTTTTTTGCCAATTATCGCGTGTTTACAATTTATCGTATCGTTATCGTTGTGTAGTGTGACCGGGCCTTAACAAGAGTAGAAACTAGAACGGACCAAAGCATTCTCGATCATGCGCAGGACTCGCGCATGCGTAATGATAATCACGGTACTAATTCTAATTTCCTAGAGCTGAATTTAAATCATATGATTTAAATGCACGAATCTGTCAATTAAAAAGCTTGAATCTAAAGCGTTTTTATATAGGCGGAAATTATAGGGGAAAACTAGCAAAGATATGACGACGAGCTTTCGTTTGAAACGCTAAATATGTATTTGTATTTATATTCATATTGAAAATCTAAATGACCCCGAACGACTTACCTTGATAAAATATAAGACTTTCCCGTTCGCATTGGTCCACATATCGACAGAACAGCCAGCGGTGATGTAACAGAACTCAGCAACTCCAAAGCTTCTGGCACCAGATACAAACTAGTTCGTTGGACACCAGCTTTCTTTATAATACTTTTCGTCTTTAAATCATACTCGTGATCGTTTGGCAGTACAAGGGGAATCGAAGAATCATATTTGCCCGCATTATCGGGGTCTATTGCTTGAATTTTGTAGCCAGAGTTCTTTAAATGGTTTTGCAATGCGGTGGACGACATTTTATGTCTTGTATATCAAAATCCCACACGACAAAACAAGCTAGTGTTCAGAATCTTGACCTTTATATTGCAGCGAAAGTGAATTCTTGCAGTTTCGCTTTCGCTGGAATGACGCAGCATTTGGTAACACGGAAAAGACGGAGTCGGAGTTCCGGAGCCGGAGTCTTAAAATGTGGAACTGACATGGAGTCATATGGATGGCAACGTGAAATATGGAAAACAGTGAGTAAACTAGGGTACCTGCAAGGTAGGGATTGCTGCGGGCATTAAAAGCAAATAGAACTACAGTAAATAGCATGAATTATATCAAGCACAGTGATTACTCGCAGCGACTAGTGAGCTGTGAATGAAACTGAGAAGAAGCAATATATATTGAAGTAGCAAAGACCGGCGGTTAAAGGGCAATCAGAGGTGACAGATATTAAACATGTGCGTCTCATTGACATACAGGTAAATTAGGATCAGATTTCATATCAAGTCTGTTTACTGCTAGGCGCATTTACCACATTTGGCACATTATATAGACTATATACACAGATTTATCACACTAAGAAACCAAAACTTTATAAAAATATAGAACTGACAGTCTGGCTAAAGTCCAAAACAAATGTAAGCGTAACAGTAGACTTGAAAAAGCTTCAGAAATTCGATAAAATTTCGAAGACTCGAGCGAGTTTAAAATTTGTGTTCTGCGCATAGAAAGCGCGCACGACCACAATTCCATGCGCTAAATAAAATTTAGTTCAAAACCCCCTCTCTGCACATATTAGGCTGCTTCACGCTCGCTCGCTTCAGGCTCGGTCGCTCCGCAGCAATAATATATAATTTATGTAAATATACAAAGCGAACGAATATTCTGGTTATTTCTCTAAAATGCCGTGAAAATACAGATTCATATTAAAAAAAACCTTTTTATATATATTATGGCTATGAAGGATAAGTTAATAATGAAGTTAGTAGGCAAACTTTGTTTCGACGTTTTGGCTGCTTTTGATAGCCTGGTCTAATTACTCGCGTGTGCGTGTGTATGTATGTGTATTTATACATTTATCAACTTTTTTCATATATATTAATATCTATGTTATTGTTATAGACCGTAACGACTTATTTAGTTATTTACCCATGTATTCTATGTCCCAACATTGGGACTTTGTTTGAATAAATTATTATTATTATTATTATTATTAAATCAAATCAAGCAAATGACATCGTTTCTCCTGTCGTTTGACTTATTCAACAGTGATTTTAATGAGGAGTTTGTTCACCCCGTATGGTATGTTGACTGTTGTTTATAAAATAGTTATATACACACTGCAGGGTTGGAATATATCATAGTCGATTTCATACTCATACACAAAACTCCCTTGGCAATAGCGTTCAGTAGGCTTTAATCACATAAGCAATCAAAGATTGAAATCTGGCAAGAAAATTTAAATGTAGACATTTTCAACATTATCATGTTTGTGCCTGGTTCACATATATGCCTGCGACGTGCCTGCGACGTACCGGCGACGATGCCGGTGGTAGCTTAAAACGTAAATTATGTGAATATTTGTTCGCCGATTGCCTCCAGTGCCACAGTTACAACGGCGGTAGGCCGGGAAAGTTGACTTGAGTTCAACTTTGCCGGTATTTCGGCGGCAAGTAGAGGCATAATGATACAGTCGCAGGCATATGTGAACCAGGCATTAGGCAGACCAGTTTGGTTCCCAGATTAATGCAATATGAACTTTAATAGGAATAATATCAAGTTATTCTGCACCTTGCATTATAACCCAAACAACCCGCCGGGTACCAGAGTTGGCTTGGCCCGCGTATAAAACAGTCGCTATGTTACCATAAAAATATGCTCAAAATGTCAAAGTTGGCTCCATTTTTCAGACAATCCCAACATACACGAAGTCCGCAAATTGTATTTTTCGTTCATACCTACACTGGTACCCAACATTCAAGATGTTATTCTTATCACCGTCAGTACTGTACAGTCTTTTATACCTCATGAATTATGACTAAGTTGGCTGCATATACAGTAGTATTTAAATTTTGGCTTCTTGGTGTACTGCTCAATATCTATGGGATGCTTTCAGTACTTGAGCGTCGGTGTACTTCGTCAAAACGTCAAAGCCTACTGCACGCCATTGCCAAGCAGTGTTGTTATATAGTTAGTGTCAAAGTTCAATTTTTCTGTTTGCCGATTGGTCAAAACCGTGTCACGTGCCGGTCCACAAAACGTCATGTTCGGCAACCGGTCCGCAATGAAACAATTATTGACCGGTCAATGAGTGCAATACGCATGCGTGTCAACCATGAAGTTCCAAAGTTCATTTTTTTAAACTTTTTTATACTAAATATTTACGGCGTTCCATTTATCCAGTTTTAGTTTCAAATTAAGTTCACTGTAATAACCGGTGAATTATTCATACTTTGACACTTATATACTATATAACAAAACACTTATTTACTGAGACCTTGGGAAAGCAGTGTGTTTTGTGGCCCCTCGACCGACCTTGTTGCCCTCGGCTTCGCCTCGGGAAACAACGGCGGTCTCGGGTAACAACGGCGGTCTCGGGTCCACAAAACACACTGTTTCCCTCGGTCTCAGCACAGTTAATAAAATTATAAATAAATGTTAAATTATCTAAAATGAACTCAACTCGTCGATCTTCGTCTTGGCGAGACCGAATAACTCAATAAGAACGTCCATAAAACATGGTTCAATTAACCCCTGAGCAGAGAAGATTCGTAATCAAAACGTTTTACCAAACAAATAGCTTGCAGGTAGCTTGCAGCAGGCTCGCGTTGCTTTTGGATTGACTAACTTTGCATAATTAATGTATTTTCAATTCCCAACGATGGAAGAATGTGATTTCGACCGGCAATTTTTATTTGACGAGTATGTGGCCATTTCTCATCGTTACGATTTAGAAAAGATATCATAGAGAAGCTAAATAACAGCTTTTTCGACTTTCGTCCTATGTAAAAATTGAATTATTTAGCTACGTTTATGATGCACGACAGCCTGTTGAATTTCCATAGCGTTTTTTT